GGTCCTATGGAGGGATGTTGAGGTCCCTTGGTTGTTAAGTTGGGGGTCTCATTATGGTTATGTTGGGGTCCTATGGAGGGATGTTGAGGTCCCTTGGTTGTTCAGTTGGGGGACTCATTATAGTTATGTTGGGGTCCTATGGAGGGATGTTGAGGTCCCTTGGTTGTTCAGTTGGGGGTCTTATTATTGTCATCTTGAGGTCCTACGAAGGTAATGTTGAGGTCCCTTGGTTGTTAAGTTGGGGGTCTCAAATTGGTTATGTTGGGGTCGGTAGCGATTATATGGGAATCCCATTGTGGTTCTATTGTGGTTCACATGGTGGTGTTGGTACTCGTATTGTGGTGATGTTGGGGTCCTATAGTTATATGTTGGGGTCTTATAGTGGGGATCTTGGGGTCCCATAGTGGTTCTATTGGAGTCAAAAAGCTGTGATGTTGATAGTCCTATGGTGATTATGTTGGGTCCTATTGTGATTATGTTGGGTCCTATTAAGATTATGTTGAAGTCCTATTGTGATTATGTTTGATCCTATTAAGATTATGTTGAAGTCCTATTGTGATTATGTTGGGTCCTATTAAGATTATATTGGGTCCTATTGTGGTTATTTTGGGTCTTATTGTGATTATGATGGGTCCCATTGTGATTGTGTTGGGTCCTATGATATACAGCCTAATCAACACCACATTTCCAATTGGAGTAAATTTTAACTTACGCACATGACACTCTGTAAAGTAAACGTGATAAGAACAATTATAATTCAACTGACGAAACTCAGTAATTTCAAACTTTCGAATTTAAGCAAAATAATATAAGCCGATATAAACTGAAAAAATCATTAATCAAGTAAGCTGTAATTATCATTATTAAAATTAATTTATTTAACTTTATTAAATGTTATTGCTTGTAATTAGACTAAGCTAAATTATATACTTTTTATCTTTTTATCTTGAATATAAAAGTTTAGAAAATAATCCGATGTTTTTATGATTTAAAACGTCTCAGAAACGTGTATTTGAAACGGCCACTAATGATAAAAATTTGCAAAGCAAATGAAAACCGAGTTTTCCGTACATCATTTATTATCTCCCCTTCGTTAGTTGGGATCGTCGTAGTATGTTAGAAAAATAATGAGCCACCTATTTAAAGATAATGATGTAGGGCCGTGCGTCATTGCAAATAATGACCCCCTGTATTTTAAGTCTGTTTGCAGTCACCCCCCCCACCCCTCCCCAAGAAAAACTGGGCTTTAAAAAAGCAAGGTTAGACCACCTGCCAAAAACTATGTACTCCCACGATTAAGGGGAGAGCACTACAATAAAAGCATTTACTCCATGAACTGTCGACAGGGGCACGGCTGAAAAAGAAAGTGACAAATCTCCGTCTTTTGGATATTTCCGTTTGTTTGTTTTTTCATCTGTCAAAAACAGACGCGTATTATAAAATTTGGATATTCTACGCGTAATTACTTTTAGCTTGTGAACGTACTCGCTTTTTATTTATTTATTTATGAAATAAATGCCAGCCTCCTTCTTATCAGTGCCATGGTCTATAGACGTAGGGTTTCTTAACTCACTTCAAATCCATTTTCTTAACCCTAACGAACCAAAGAAAATAAAATGCCAATCCAATATCTGTTTCATTAAAAGATGGGTCCTTTAGGCGGTTTTAAAAAAATGTAATTTAGGGCAATTCGGTGGGGAGCGTCTGAAAGAGTTTCTCCTCTAGGGGGGGGGGGGGGGGACGACGGGCTCGGGATATTTTTTTAACTTAACTTCCTTGTCCAAATGAAATCAGCCTAATAAGTTAATTCTTGTGAAATGTACTTTTTAGTTTAAAACGTCATGTTATGTAAGAAGTTGAGCTGTAAAAGGAATCGTAATTTTTGTTACATTTTATGTAAATTAGCTTCTCTTTTTCTTAATTTTATTATTGAAAAGGATTCCCTTACACAATTAAATATGCGTGTCAACTAGTTATGTGCCATATATATAGGCCGTTGACTCCAACTTCAGCCTGCTTTACTATAAGGCAGCAGATGTTTGATTTTGGAGTTGTCTTTCCTAGAAGTGCTGCTGTCCCCAGCTATCGAGCCTCATCTGTCCGGGTGTTTGAACTCGGGACTTACCGGTTCAGCAACCATGAGCTTAACCGACCCGACCACGCCGACCCGATGTAATTTAGCTATGTAACAGGTTGTAGTGACATCCAAATCAGGCGAAAAATCTAGGAAGAAGAGGCGTGAAGGAAAGAGTAGAAAAACTGGTAATCTATCGTTTTGGGTACGTAAAATCGCCCGCGGCTAGTAATGTACGAAAAAGTTACCTCATTGTCAAGGCTTTAATAGAAGTATATTGTGATATGTTTGTGTCAAATATTATAGATAAATGAATAATAAACCTAAACCAATGGCTAAATATATAAATATGGGCCAGAAATTAACTTTAAACAGCAGTGTCTGAGAGCAAGATTTACTATTCCCCCTGAATCTCGCGCTATATCTTTATAAAAATAAAACTTAAGCAAGATGGCGGCTATAGTAAATGAGCTTGGTTGCATCTGTTGGAAACATCGCTAGTCTTCATTTATTACTGAAAAGTTTTAATTCAATTGTTTAAAAACAGGTACATAAATGATAGAGGGAACCATTTTTGTATTTTTCAAAATATAAATCCTCCACAAAATGTGAAATAATTATTAAAATTTAAGGAGTCACCAGTTTTTCACATTACTAGTCGCGGGCGATTTTACGTACCCAAAACGATATATTACCGAAAAACTATCGTGTGTCTATCGAGATGGATCTATAAGGAACAGCCTAATATAATTTAAAGCTGATTGAAAAACAAACCGCGCATTTTTCTGTTGTTGTTTTTCCAAATGTTTTATAGACGCCCACCCTAATCGGATTATGTGACCTTCACCTTTAGGCAAGAGTGCATATTCATTAGCCTGATTTGAACATACAGCAAGTTCAATTTCGGCTTCGTTAGTCATGGTTGTAGTGACAGAAATAAGATTTTAAGATCGTCAATAACTAGCCGGCATATAGGGAGTGGTTGGGTTCGTTGTTAAAATCAATAGGGCAGGTAAGTAGGTCACCGACCAGTTCTATGGCTCATGCAGGTTTTATTGAGCCTTAGAACTGGTTGGTGACCTACTTACCAGCCCTATTATCCGACAGCTATTTTGCTTATATAGATTTCGCCTGTTTTCACGTGGATATTTTGCCAAGTTGAAGGCCAATAATAGGGCAATTTTAAAAACGGGCGAATGTTCCAGAAACAAGTTTTTGATGCTGTGGAAATAAAGCAATTGAAGAGCCCCGTAAAAGAAATGTCGTCGTTGGAAATTGAAATGTCTTCAAAACGAAATGCCTGGGTTATTGGAGTTTTCCCTTTTCAACGAAATCACGGACGGACGAGAGAATCCCGCAAACTGTAATCTGAGCTGCTAGAGTGTTGTTAAACAGGGGGGGGGGGTGAATAATGGGTGGGGGGGGGGGGGGGGGGCGTGGAGATAGGAAGGCTTGGACAAATTTGTAACAATTTTAGAAGGCCAAGGCCTCACAGATTATAGCCAAAAAAAAACCGGGAGTGATCTCCCCTAAACTTTCTCGAATATTCTTATATAAAATAACAGGGGATGGAAACTCGGGCTATAGACATGATTTTTAATCCATTTTAAATACTTAAAGTTTTAAAAATAGAATAAAATCTCGTAGACAAATTAATTGCACACCAAGTGAACGCAAATAAAAAAAAGCGCATAATAGTGCGCAATATTATTAGTACTTTTAAAATTTACATTAGTTTTTTGAGAAATCGGAAGTAGCGTAAATTACTACTTCCAGTCAACGGAAATTACTCAAAATTTAACAGAAGGTAGAGAATTAGATCTTTTACTTACATGTGAAATTTCATTTATCTATCTGAAATAGTACTCAAGTTATAGGCTTTTAAAAATTTCAAAGTAGGAAAAGTACCACTTCCGGTTATCGGAAATCGCTCAAAAGTTGATACGGATCTACGATTTTGATAAAATACTTGTATATGAAATTTCATCAACCTAGCTGTAACGGTACTCAAGTTATCGTGTTTACACACGGACACACACACACACAGACACACACACAGACACACAGACATACGGACAAGATTGCAAAATTATGTTTTTCCGTATCAGTGAGATGTAAAACGTCGAGATTTGCAAAAATCTCGATTTTTTTTTTTTTGCACGATTACAAGACTTTCTCTATACTTCGTATATACGAGAAAGTAAAAAACAGGAAAAAATACGAGATTTAACATAAAAAAATTATTTCTCAAATGGTAACAAAATAAATAAATAAAAATGGTAACAAAAGATTTGCTGGCCTTTATCTGAAGCTGCGCTATTATTTAAAAGAACTGGATGCTGTTATTCTATTTTAAGAATGCGTGATTAAATATAATAATTATGCTCTAATTAAAGTCGATAGAAGCACTGGAATTGCAATTTCTTTATTTTTATAAATCTTTTTAAATATATACTCGACATTCTTATATACCGAGGTGAATTCTCATTAACTTCAAAAAAAATCTGAAGTTTTTTTTTTTTTTTTTCGTATCTCCCCCCCCCCCCTTCCTTTTAATCCTCCCAACTTTATTAATATAGTTTAGCGTATCCTAGGCAGATGAGGCTCGATAGCTGTGGACAGCAATCCATCTAGGAGAGACAATTCCAAAATCAAACAACTGCTGCGTTGCAATTTTTGTTCTTGGTTGGACAAAGGCTATGGAAACAAATCTAGATAGAAAAGCCGGCTGAAATCGGAGTCAACAGCATATAAGGCGCATAACAAGTTGACACGCAATACTTAATTGTGTTGGGGAAAACCCCGTCCAAAATAAGAATTAGCATCGAAGAAGAAAGAAAGAAAAAATGTAACGTTTATTAAAATTATCCCCTGGTTTCCGGAAATGTGTCTACCGCCATATTGTTTTCTCTGATTTGATTGACAGGTGTCAACGTTTCTCTTCTTCATCATCCCGATGACCCTGATCGCCTTGCTCTACTTCTTCATCGCCCTGGCCATCCGGCGCTCCACCCTGAGTCGCGCCGGCTCCGACTCGTCCAATGACGGCTCCCGCAGCCACTCGACCTGCGAGATCCGGCAAAACACCAGCGGGCAGCAGCACGCCAGGATACGCCAGTCGGTGTTGAAGATGTTGGGTGAGTACGCCAGTCGGTGTTGAAGATGTTGAGTGAGTACGCCAGTGGGTGTTGAAGATGTTGGGTGAGTACGCCAGTGGGTGTTGAAGATGTTGGGTGAGTACGCCAGTCGGTGTTGAAGATGTTGGGTGAGTACGCCAGTCGGTGTTGAAGATGTTGGGTGAGTACGCCAGTGGGTGTTGAAGATGTTGGTGAGTACGCCAGTGGGTGTTGAAGATGTTGGGTGAGTACGCCAGTGAGTGTTGAAGATGTGTGTACGCCAGTGGGTGTTGAAGATGTTGGGTGAGTACGCCAGTGGGTGTTGAAGATGTTGGGTGAGTACGCCAGTGTGTGTTGAAGATGTTGGGTGAGTACGCCAGTCGGTGTTGAAGATGTTGGGTGAGTACGCCAGTGGGTGTTGAAGATGTTGGGTGAGTACGCCAGTGGGTGTTGTAGGTGGGAGTGTGTTAGTGGGTGTTGAAGATGTTAGTACGCCAGTGGGTGTTGAAGATGTGAGTACGCCAGTGAGTGTTGAAGATATGATTTCCTCAGTGGGTGTTGAAGATGTGTGTATGGTAAGAGTTTGGGTAAAGATTACGATCCTAGATTTTATAAATGTAACCCCCTACCTCGTATCCCTACTCCCAATTTAACAACCACCCCCGTTTAACATCAACATTTTCCCTCTTTCCAGTGGCTGTGGTTGTGGCGTTCTTCCTGTGCTGGGCGCCCTACCACACGGAGCGGCTGCTGGTGGTGTACGCGCCGGAGTGGACGGAGACGTCACGCAGCATCCACCACGCCCTCTTCTACGTCAGCGGCGTCATGTACTACCTAAGTGCTACAATTAACCCCGTGCTCTACAGGTACGGACAGGTGTTTTTAGAGAACCTACCTTTTTGTTTCGCACCGGGTTACAGAACATGTAGCGCAAAACCAGTAGGTTGGCTTGATATAACGGCTATAAAACATGTAGCGTCAGATCTAAATTTGGCTTGATACATAAATTATAAAACGTGTATTGTAAAACCTAACTTTTGATTAGAAACGCTGGCTATGGCCCCAGCGAAACAAGCCCCAAACAAAAAACAACCTTGTATAGATGGAAGCTGACACTATGAAGTAGTGTATGGAAAGTTTGAAAGTCCGACGCATCTAGCGATTATTAAGTCCTTTCAAACTTTCCATATAGGCCTACTTTATTTTATAGTACCGATACATTCACCCAGTAATTTTACTACTATCACATTCAACAGCAATCCTGTAGTACCAATATATTCACAAGTACTTCAGAGTATAATTTTTTAACAGTGCTTTAGAGTGCCAATATATTCATCTAAAAATTCAGAGTATCAATATATTCACCAGTACTTATTTAGTGCCTATAATTACCAATTATTTCGGAGTAGCAATTTATTCTGAATATTCGCCATTTCTAGAGTACAATACATTCACTAATATTTTAGAGTAGAAATATATTCACCAGTACTTTAGAGTACCTTATGTTCGCCAATATATCAGAGTAGCAATATATTCACCAGCACTTTTGAGTATTTTAGCGTACCAATATATTCACCAATATTTCAGAGTAATATATTCACCAATATTTCATAGTGCAATAAAGTCATCAATACGTATAAATTGCCCATCTACGCATCAAAATTAAACTTAGCAATATATTAACATGCACTTTTAAGTAACACCTAATAACAAAATAAGAAAAAAGTAACTCTGATGTAATAGAACCAAATGACGTCATTGACAAATCCCATTGGACAGTCAGATATGTATCGCGTGGCAATCACGCGATGCGCTGTTGACAAAGAAAGAAAAAGAAGGAGTTTTAAAATAATGGAATAAAAATTTAAGGATTTTCCTGGCTTTAAACTAACAAAACAATTACAACTATTAAGGTGTGGTCGAATTTCTAGGGATTTTTTAAAACCTACTTATCATTTTCTGGAAAGTTAGATTGCATTTTTTTTCAAATTACCAAATTTTATTGCTGTAACAAAAGATGTATTTAAGTTTGTTTCGTTTGTTATTTTAATTTCTCATTACTGTCTAAGTTTTGGTATCATGTGATTGAGTTCTTATTTTTTATAATTTATTTTTTTTAATGATATTTATGTAATTGTCTCCCTGTTATTAGATACCTTATTAGACATATTTCCATTTTATTATCTACCCCTTCATACCCCAGTTCCATAGCTCATATCTCCATGTACTTCTCCCCCTCCAGCATTATATCCCTAAAGTTCCATAATTCACATGTCTATATAATTGTCTCATATAGCATTATGTCCCTCAAGGTCGATAACTCATATTTCCATATAATTATCTCCCCCCCCCCCGCATTATGCCACTCAAGTTCCATAACTCATATCTCCATGTAATTCTCTCCCCCTAGCATTATATCCCTCAAGTCCCATAACTCATATCTCCCTGTAATTCTTTCCCCAAACATTATGTCCTTCAAGTTCCATAACTCATATCTCCCTGTAATTATCTCCCCCAGATTATGTCCCTCAAGTTCCATAACTCATGTCTCCCTGTAATTATCTCCCCCAGATTGTGTCACTCAAGTTCCATAACTCATATCTCCATGTAATTCTCTCCCCCAGATTATGTCCCTCAAGTTCCATAACTCATACCTCCCTGTAATTCTCTCCCCCAGATTATGTCACTCAAGTTCCATAACTCATATCTCCCTGTAATTATCTCCCCCTAGCAATTTATTAATCAAGTTTCATAACTCATATCTCCCTGTAATTCTCACCCCCTAGCATTATGTCCCACAAGTTCCATAACATATATCTCCCTGTAATTCTCTCCCCCGTCATTATGGTCAGCAAGTTCCGTAACTAATACGTCTAAAGCTCTGTATTAATCAAGTTCCATAACTCATATCTCCCTGTAATTATCTCCCCCTAGCAATTTATTAATCAAGTTCCATAACTCATATCTCCCTGTAATTCTCTCCCCCAGATTATGTCCCTCAAGTTCCATAACTCATATCTCCCTGTAATTCTCTCCCCCTATCATTATATTAATCAAGTTCCATAACTCATATCTCCCTGTAATTCTTTCCCCCTATCATTATATTAATCAAGTTCCATAACTCATATCTCCCTGTAATTATCTCCCCCAGCATTATGTCCCTCAAGTTCCATAACTCATATCTCCCTGTAATTCTCTCCCCCTATCATTATATTAATCAAGTTCCATAACTCATATCTCCCTGTAATTCTTTCCCCCTATCATTATATTAATCAAGTTCCATAACTCATATCTCCCTGTAATTCTCTCCCCCTATCATTATATTAATCAAATTCCATAACTCATATCTCCCTGTAATTCTCTCCCCCTATCATTATATTAATCAAGTTCCATAACTCATATCTCCCTGTAATTCTTTCCCCCTATCATTATATTAATCAAGTTCCATAACTCATATCTCCCTGTAATTCTCTCCCCCTATCATTATATTAATCAAATTCCATAACTCATATCTCCCTGTAATTCTTTCCCCCTATCATTATATTAATCAAGTCCCATAACTCATATCTCCCTGTAATTCTTTCCCCCTATCATTATATTAATCAAGTCCCATAACTCATATCTCCCTGTAATTTTCTCCCCCTATCATTATATTAATCAAGTTCCATAACTCATATCTCCCTGTAATTCTCTCCCCCCAGCATTATATTAATCAAGTTCCATAACTCATATCTCCATATAATTCTCTCCCCCAGCATTATGTCCCTCAAGTTCCGGCAAGCGTTCCGGGCGACCCTCCTCTGCTGCTGGTGGTCACGGTCCGGCCCAAAGCGCCGGGCCAACCGGAACTCCTACACCTTCAAGTTCCAGCACCGAGCCCACCTCAACACCCACTGCTCCTTCATGGAGAGCAGCAGCAGCACCAACAACAACAGCACCAACAACAACAAGCAGGCCAACAGCAACCACTCCACCCCCATCCTGTGCTGCGCCGTGGGTACCGGGGCGGTGACGACCCAGCTGGAGGGTTGCCCCCTGGTGGAGATGTTTGCCTGTGAGGGGGTCAGGGGTCACAGTTACGAGAGTAACGGCATCATTCAGCCCAACGGCACCGAGCGGATGTTGTGAGATGGCGTGTTTGAAATAACATTGAGAATCACGTGATGATTTTTTCAATCCGGTTTTTTAAATTTCCGATTCGTGACCGTCTTGAGACGACTCAGCCTTAACGGGTACCTGGCCTGTGTAAGAAAAGTCAAGAATGCGGATTTTAGCCTAACATATTAAGGCTACATTATAATACTCTACTTGATCTGCACGTATGCACTCACTACATTGGATTGGATTTCCGGTTCGTGGCAGTTTTGAGACGACTCAGCCTTAACGGGTACCTGGCCTGTGTAAGGAAAGTCAAGTAAGCGGATTTTAGCCTAACATACCAAGGCTACATTATAATACTCTACTTCACCTGCACTTATGTACTCACCAGATTGGATTGATCTTCATTTTTCTTTCACAACCTGTGTCACAATTCTGAAGAAAGAAAAAAGGTGGCTTAAATAGTTTTGAAAACAAACAAACCGGAAATGACCTTGTTTTTTTAATTTGTTTCAAAAGGACATTGACCTGAAGGAAAAGCCGGCTAAATCAAACGCCATGTAAAGTAACCACAAGGGAATCTACACTAATGAAAAGATTCCCTATGTGATTCTACACTCTTGAACTCGTCTATCTGATACAGCACTGCTCAAAGCTCCAAAACATTTGAATTACTTGTGAATGTTCTTCTTGGTCAACGTGATTAAGAACTGAATAAAAATGTTCATCTCACGGCTACTCACTTAGATAATTAAAATCAGTTCGAGATTTTTTTTCGCGGACGTGCGGGAAGGCTATAAAAACCAAGTTCAGGAGTTGATTGGATTTAACCGAGTTATAAGCACAACTTTAAGTAACTAGCTAACCCAGTATCCATAAGACAATATGGCTGGTAAGTAGGTCACCAACCAGTTCTATGGCTCATGCAGGTTTTATTGAGCCGTAGAACTGGTTGGTGACCTACTTACCAGCCCTATTATATGAAGTTTTATATTTATATTCTGACGGGTTGAATGATAGTTTGTGATATTTCTACAGCCTTAATGGTGTTTTGGGGATGAGCTTAATTGGTTAGAAGGGCAATGACCTATCGTCTAGAATGTAACGTTGGAGTAAGTAAAGAAGAACTAAGTGCGTTTAATAGGATCTGCTTCTTCCATCAAAGACTCTGTCAAATTAATTTGCTTTCAACTTTCTGAAGATGTAAATAGTTCGATCACGTAACTGCTACGGATATTTTTGTGACATGTTATTATGGCTACAGCTATAATTGTATAACTACTATTATAGCTACAATTATAATTGTTGAAATACTTTTATGGCTAGAATTTATGATAAATGGCGTGTTCATCTGACTACGTCTATTTTTATGATCTATTATTACGGCTGCAGCCATTATTGCTGACCTGCAATTGTCTCTACAGCTATATAGTAATCGAGCTGCTACTATGGCTACAGCTATAATTGTAATATAGCTATTACTGTTGATGTACATTTGTTTCTATTTATTGTAACTATTAATTAATTGTATTGTTTGAAGATATGTTTAATATGATGTACTGTGATTGGGTGGCTACATTGTAGCCACAGGTTGGCTACATGGTGTCTACACGGTGTAGCTGATGGATAGCCTCAGTGTGGGTAGAGTGTGGCTACCTTGTGGTTTCAGTGGGGCTATACTGTGGATATAGCGTGGCTACATTAAGCTACATTGTACAGTATGGCTACCTGGCGCCTACGTGATAGCTAGGTGCCACCTACATAGCAGCTACATTGGGTATACATTGTGGCTAGATTGTGGCTGAAGTGGGGCTATACATAGTAGCTACATGATTGCTACATTGGGTATACATTGGGGCTAGATTGTGGCTACATAATAGCTACATGTGTGGCTACATGGAGGCTACTTGGTAGCTCCATGGCGACTACATGGTAGCCATAGTGTTGCTACAGTATAGCCGCACCATGGCTACATAGTAATTGTTATTCGCCACTACCTTAAAATTGTCTCAATTTGCCCTAACGACAGGGAGATAAAGAAGCGCCGACTGTGATTTGAACGAAGAAAATTATGCCCCTTAGTTTCTACCTGATCAGCCAGGCTTGTCTTCAAGAGGACCAAACTGATTACTAAAACACATTTTCAAAAATCAATGTTTCAGCGGAATCCAGGCGTTATAGTTCAGCGAATACGATACAGTCTACTAAATCGATACCGTCCTGAGAATCTTGAGAATTTTAGATTCGCCCCCCCCCCCCCTTACCCCGATGAAAACGAAACAATGAAGTCAAATGACTAAGCTGGATTGAATGTAAATAATTTACATTTCCTGTAAGTGGGGTAAATGGTGCAGACATGAAGGCTACATTCATGCTGTGGTTTCAAAAATGTAAATGTAAGGAAAAATATCTCATTATTTGTTTTAACTTTAAAAAATACTCATTTTTTTAAATTACTTGTCCAAAAAAGTGTTCGATGAAGTCAGATTCTTGAAACCAAATTTGCTCGTTTTGTCTCTCGTCTCCCTTTGTTGTTTTCGTTTATTTATTTTTGCTTATTTGTTTGTTTCCCCCCCCCCCCCCCCCCTCCCACAGCCCCATCACTGCTGTGTAGCTAAATGTTCGATCACTTCAAGGATCCACTATTTACAGTTCAGAATGATAGATTTGTTCAACTTAGTACAGTGGTTCTTAACCTGGGTTCGATCGAGCCTCATGGGTTCAGTGAGTCTATCTCAGGGGTTCGGTGGAGGTCAATACCCCCCCCCTTCATAAAATGGCAACCTAAACCATAAAAAAACACAGACATAAACATTGATCAGTTTTAAACTTTGCGGGGTAGTGTCGATTTTTGTGTACACACACACACACACACACAAACACATACAAGCACGTACACACACACACACACCTATATTTTCATATAAGTGTTCAAAAATAAATTTTCAATTTTAATTTTAGTAATGACTCCATATCGTCAGCTCCGTAAGATTAATTACAAGGGTTTCACCTTGTTATTCACAGCCGGAAGTTAGTTAATTATATTTATTAAAACATTAATTAAAACATCCAATATATGTTTAAGCTTACTCTCAGTAAGTGTTACATTAATATATTGTATGCATATTAATTTTACTAATTAGCCGTTTTGGGGAGTTTTAGTGAAGCTACTAGATTATTAATCTACCAGCTTTGATCTTTAATAAATATACAAATAAACTATAATAAAATCAAATCAAAATATTTGATCTATAATAAATATACAAATAAACTATAATAAAATATAAATATGCTCTATAATAAATATACAAATTAACTCTTATAAAAAAAAACAAGAAAACTTAAATTTGTTATTTGCTCAAATGAACAATTAGCATAATTAGCATAAAGGCCGACTGTTATTTATTCGCTTCAATGGTTTTCGTGTATGCTTGAATAATTTCTGTAAAGTTAACCTCCCCCCCCCCCCGCCCCCACCTCACATCCATCTTGCATCATCTCCGTTACCTCCTATCACTTCACCCCGTCAATGATGCTAATTCTGCTAACTTGCATTTTCTTGCCAAAGCTATGGAATATATATATTTGAACTTTACAAAAGAACGTGACGATTATAATTTTTTTACAAAGTGATATTGATGAAATGTGAATCTGATTTTCCCTTGCCTTATTACGGGGAAAAAAATCAAACTAATTTTAAAACGATTACAATGTAATTCTTTGTTGTTTTTTTTATATATGATTTCAACAGCGACGTACATTACGTATACTCTCTATATATTTTGTATGTTTGTATTTATTTTATTATCCTTATCATTACTATTGATATTATTTTGTTTCTTTAAATTAAAGCTGTACGTCATAACAATCACGTGTTTACTGTAAATAAATGAAATCTTTGAAAACATCACATTAGAGTTGATGCCTTGGGTGAATGTAAATGGCGCTGAAATGGTTTAAATATAAGAATTTGGGAAAAGTTTGTGAATTTTTGATAATGTTGTGAGTTTTGGACAATTTAGTAATATTTGGACAATTTGGTGAGTTTTGGACAATAAGTTGGGTTTGAACAATTTAGTAAGATTTGGACTATTTGGTGAGTGTTGATGAGTTTTGTACAATGTGCTGATATTTGGACAATTTATTAAGATTTGCAGAATATGGTGAGTTTTTGCATAATTTGGTGAGTTTTTGCACAATTTGGTGAGTTTTGGACAATTTGGTAAGTTTTTGACAATTTGGTAAGTTTTTGACAATTTGGTGAGTTTTGGACAATTTGGTGAGTTTTAGACGAATAGGTGAGTTTTGGACTATTTTGGTGATTTTTGGAAAAATAGGTGAGTTTTGGACAATTAGGTAAGTTTTAGACAATTAGGTGAGATTTTGACAATTTAGTGTGTTTTGGACAATGTGCTGAGATTCAGACCATTTATTGAGATTTGGACAAATTAGTGAGGTCTGCATAGTTTGGTGAGATTTGAACAATTACGTGAGCTTTGAACTAGTTTTGGTGAGTTTTAATATACTTATTAAGTATTAGGACCATATCACGCTTGAATTTGTATCAACGTAATTAACTATGATGACCCTCAAAAAATTTCTCTCACGTAACCGCCAACTAAGTACCAAGAAAAAATCTTCCACAGCTATTCAACATGACCCTTCTAACAAGATTTCATTTGATTTGTTTTTGTCACACAAAACTTCGTACACTCACGGGTAATTTCTTAAACCTCTTTAATATAATAATAAAGTATTGCATGGTCCAGTGAATCTCATTTTAAATCAGACATCTATTGTTCTTTATAGGTCGAAACCAAATACGACACGATTTCCCATAGTAAATTCATCTTTCTCCCTCTGGTTTGGTTTTAATTTACTTCATTCAAAAAAGAAACCAAGAAAGATTTTAAATGAGAATGCCCACGTAGTCATATAAAAATACAAATTATGTAATTTTCAAGAAATAATCAGGAACTACGTCCAGTGTTTGTCTAAGAAGGTTCTCAAATGATCAACTTGAGTCCTCTATAACACCGGATGTACTCAGCTTTCT